TATTCATGTTTGTTCTTTTGGACAGTCTCACTCTGTCAGCCAGGCTGGAGTACAGTAGCGTGATCTCAGCTCACTGCAACCTCCACCTCCCTGGTTTAAGCAATTCTGCCTCAGCCTCCTGAGTAGCTGGGATTGCAGGTGTGCATCACCACAACCAGCTGATTTTTTTTTTTTTTTTGGAGACGGAATGTCCATCTGTCACCAGGCTGGAGAGCAACAATACCAAGACCCTGTCTGTACAAAAAAAAAAAAAAAAAAATTAAATTGGGTGACTGTGGTCCTAAATATTCAAAGGCTGAGAGGAGTTTGAAGCTGCAATAAGCTAAAATCACACCACCACACTCCAGCCTAAGCAACAGAGAGAGACCCTATCTTTAAAAAAAATAAACAGCCTGAGTAACATGGCAAAGCCTGGGTAACGTGGCGAGACCCTGTCTCTACAAAAAAAAAAAAAAAAAAAAACCACAAAAATTAGCCAGCCATGGTGGCGTGCATCTACAGTCCCAGCTACTCAGGAGGCTGAGGTGGGAGGACCACTTGACAGAGGCTAGGGCTGCAGTGACCTACGATTGCACCACTGCGCTCCGGCCTGGGTGACAGAGTGAGACCCTGTCTCAAAAAATATAATAAATAAAAGAATAAATATAGTACCTTTTTTGTTTTTTTGTTGTGTTTTCTTTTTTGAGACAGTCTTGCTGTGTCACCCAGGCTGGAGTGCAGTGGCGCAATCTCAGATCACTGCCACCTCCACCTCCCAGGTTCAAGCGATTCTCCTTCCTCAGCCTCCCAAGTAGCTGGGATTACAGGTGTGGGCCACCATGCCTGGCCAATTTTTGTATTTTTAATAGAGACGAGGTTTCACCATGTTGGCCAGGTTGATCTTGAACTTCCAACCTCAGGTGATCCACCCACCTCAGCCTCCCAAAGTGCTGGGATTACAGCATGAGCCACCATGCCCAGCCTATAGTAGCTTAAATAAGATGAAAGTCTATTTTTCTCTCATGTAAAGGCCCAGTGAATCGTCTAGAATAGTAGCCAAAATGTCAGAAACTGAGGCTCCTTCTACCTGGTTGTTCTGCTGCCCTCACCTCACCTACATTGTGTGGTCCAAAACGGCTGCTCCAGCTCCCACCATCACATCCACATTCCAACCACTGGGAAGAAGTAACAAAAGCCAACTGTATGCCCCTACCCTTTAAAGCTACAACCCAGAAGTCATACACATCACATCCTATTTGCCCAAAATTGAGTCACATGGCCACATCTATCACAACCGAGGCTGGGAAATTCGGTTTTATCTGGGCAGCATGTGCCCATTCAGCCAAAATTCAGGGGCTCTGTTATGAAAGGAAGAGGAAAGGCCGGGCATTGGTGGCTCACACCTGTAATCCCAGCACTTTGGGGGACAAACGGGTGGATCACCTGAGGTCAGGAGTTCAAGACCAGCCTGACCAACATGGTGAAACCCTGTCTCTACTAAAAATACAAAATTAGCTGGGCATGGTGGCTTATGCCTGTTGTCCCAGCTTCTCGGGAGACTGAGACAGGAGAATTCCTTGAACCCAGGAGGTGGAGGCCACAGTGAGCTGAGATGGAGCCACTGCACTCAAGCTTGGGCAAGACAGAACCAGACTCTGTCTCAAAAAACAAAACAAAACAAAAAAAAAAGGGGAAGAGGAGAGAATAGCTATTGAGGGACCACAAGTGTATCTGTCACAACCAGGGCTCCGCCACTAAATGACTAAATGACTCAAGGTGAAGTGACTCCACCACACTGTTGAGTATTTAATAAGCCTCAGTTTGGCTGGGCGCAGTGGCTCATGCCTGTAATCCTAGCACTTTAGGAGGCCAAGGCAGGCGGATCACTTGAGGTCGGGAGTTCGAGACCAGCCTGACCAACATGGAGAAACCCTGTCTCTACCAATAATACAAAAACTAGCCGGGCATGGTGACACATGCCTATAATCCAGCTACTCAGGAGGCTAAGGCATGAGAATTGTTGAACCCAAGAGGCTGAGGTTGCGGTGAGCCAAGATCGCGCCATTTCTCTCCAGCCTGGGCAACAAGAGCGAAACTCCTCCTCAAAAAAGAAAAAAGAAGAAGAAGAAGCCTCAGTTTCCTCACCTGCAAAATGGGAATCCCCTCTACCCCTCAGGGTTGATGGGTGGTTGAGCATTTAATGAGAGTCTGGATGTCAGGCACTTAGCACAGGACCTGGCCCATCATCAGCCTGGCGTGTGTCGGAAATCATCTTGTGCCTGTGGGTCTAGGCTGCGGGTGATGTGGCTCTTTGTGTATGAGAAACTGTCCCTGAGCCTGAGAGCTGAACCCAGCACTGAACTTGGTAAGTAACTTCTCTAAAACAAGGGATCTGGCCTCTGCACACATGGAAATCCCCTCTCTGCCTCCTAGACCTTGGGACTGGGCACGTGTCCTTCCACTCTTCCCCTTCTGCTGGAGAAACACAGACTTCAAAGATAGGGGGGAGGGTCCTGCTTGGAGTCTCCAGCCTCCCAGCCTTCACAGAATTCAGCACTTACAGCCTGGCCAATATGGTGAAACCCCATCTGTACTAAAAATACAAAAATTGGCAAGGTATGGTGGCACACATCTGTAATCCCAGCTACTAGGGAGGCTGAGGTGGGAGGATGGCTTGAATCCGCAGGCAGAGGTTGCAGTGAGCCAAGATCATGCCACTGCACTCCAGCCTGGGCGACAGAG